GAGAGGGATAATGGGGGATAATGGGGGATAATGGTGGAAGGGCCATCAAGGCCCATGTGTAAAGGACACAGGGACAAAGCCAAAGGGGGTAGGTTCAAGGGTGGGAGACAGGAATGGATGGTGCAGGAGGGAGTGGTGGGGTGGAAATGGAGACAACTGTACTTGAACAACAATAAAAAACAAATAAGTAAATATCACTCAGTAAGGTATATTAAAAATCACATGTGCACATTATAATTTCAATGAACATGATCAAAACTCTTGCTCTAATTGATAAACTGGGAAATCTTTGAAGTCTCTACCACAATTCAATAAAAAAGTAACTAAAAACTCCCCACATTAGGATAGTAACAAATAAACATTTAACACATAGAAAAAGAAATCAATTTGAAAAGATTTTAAACTTAATGATATTAGAATACTTATATTCTAATACTTTATATCATTAGAATAAGTATTCTAATGATATTAGAATACTTATTAAAATGTGTGTAGTGTGGTTAAAGCAGTATTGTGGTGGAAATTTTTTAGCCTTAAATGCCTTTTGGCTATTCAAAGTCTCTGTATTAAAGTCAAAATACGAAATTCAACTCTGTTTTGTTATATCTATAACAGACTATTAAATTTTACAAAATATGCCATTTACAGTGGCACTAAAAATATTTAATACTGGGAAGTTAAAGAAACAGAAAACACTAAGACATTGTGAGAAACTAAGGCCCTAACAAGAGACCCGGATATGAAAACCAAGAACTCCAATACAAATGGGTGCTTGGTACACGTTCGCAGCTGTGATGCCACAAAACGGTGTGAGTGCGAGAGTGGAATGCTCAATAAATAACGCTCTATATGTGGTTTTCCCTAAACAGAAAGATGGGAGAGGCAACAGGTCAAAGCTTATCCATCCTTGCTTAATCTCAGAGATAGATACATCACTTCTCGTTTGTCTGAAATGTTTCCTAATTCAACTTAAGTTTCTACATTTAAAAATGAAATCTGTTGAGAAAGCATCCTCCCTAAATGCAGCTGTTCTTCAGCGCCTGATATATGCTTGCCATATTTCTGCCCTGTCTGGAATTTTAGGGCAAAAAAGAGGAAGGATAGGTCATGTTATCTCCGGCCATGACCCTCATCTTCCCCAGGTATCAGAGGAGGCAGCTCTCTAGCTCTACTCTTAGACCTACTGTGTGCGGCAACAGCATGGTGCCCCTGGGTTCCACGTGGGTGAGCAGCTGGGTCAGGGAACAGCCATAGTCTGGGGAGGCTGCCAAACTGCAGGCCTGGGGCTGGACGCCTGCAGAAAGGGACTTCACTTGGGGAGCCTCAGAGCACATTGTGGGGGTGGGCAGGTCCGCCCTGTCTGCGCTGGGCATGTGGGGTCAACACCACTCCTCTCTTACCCCTTTAGAGAAATGCTAAAATAAAATCGCAGCACCCTAGAGCAAAATATATCCTTAACTACTGGAGCACAAAGATGGTCAAGATCATGGTCCAAAGGCTAAGTTTAGCTCTCACTTAGGAAGTTTGGCCCTGTATTCTTCAGGCCTTTACAAAAAAGCTGAGTTTTGTCAAGTTTTGACTTATTCACTAACATCTAGAATTTGAGAGATTTCGATGGAAACTGGATATCTAGCTTCTCTCCTGAGAAAGCAGGGATTCGAGCCTGGATTCTAGAATGCCAAGTATCAGTCACTCCTGAAGACTGCCCCCCTACCCGCAATGGTCCCACTCATTGCCTCACCTACTGGCCCCACCAGGGGTTTCAACAACTCCCTCATGTTACAGATGAGAAAACTGAGGCCCAGAGAGGTCAAATGCCTTGGCTAATGTCAGTGACCCTGTGGCGGGAGCCACGCTGGCACCAGGTTGGCCAGTTACCAGCTAACTTCTCATCCCTTTTTTCTGCATGATGAAGGCACATTTCATGGTCTCTAATGACATGGTCTGTGTAATTGAGCAGGTGCACTGGAAATGATCATGCTTATGTGTTTAATGAGGCCTACCTAAGTGATGATAAAAATAATATGAGTGGGTTAATTATAAGCAAAAAGTCACCAAGGCTTAGCCAAACCCAAAACAGAGTTTTACGTACAAGAGAGTATGACGATGTAACTGACAATTGCTATTACCTGGAGGTTGCATGATCCCAGAGCATCACTTTTTTTTGGCTGATGTTCATACACATGTGAGTCCTCCTGACTTTCTCCCGCCCTCCCTAATCCCCCCCTTTTTTTTTGAGTCTAGAAAGATGGGCAAACTCCGCTCTGGAACTCTTCCCCCAGCCTCCCCACCGAGGACGCCTCCATTAGGATTTTTCCTTGTTGGATTTATTTACTCTTGGACTAAAGCTGGTAGACAATGTGCACCGACTTGGTTGAGTTTCGCCCATTATCCCCAGAAGTACTGAGCTACCTGGGTTGCGCATTCCTGCTCTGTGCAAAGTGAGTAGGTTAGAACCAGCTCCGTGAAGAGAGTCCATGGATTATACCACCCTGTGGAATGTAAAACACTAAATAACCTAAACGTAGATCAGTAGGAGAAAGGCCCAATGACTTTGGTATATTTATATTATGGAAAACTATGCAAGGGGGCAAAAAAAAAAAAAGGAGAGAGAGACAGATCTGTCTTAAATACTGATATGGACAGATTTGTAGATTACAAAAGGATCTTCATATATAATATATAAAATATATATGTATAAAATTACTTATGTCACTTATGTTGAAAAACGCAAAGAGATGGGGAGGGAGGTAGAAGGGGATTAAATGGCAATGGGAAATAATACAATAAAGACTAAATTAAAAACACAAACAGAAACGCACATTGTGTGTGGGTCCACATATGTGCATAAAGGCACAGGACACGTCTGGAAAGAAACAGGAAGTGGTGAGAGTGGACACCTTGTTTAGACAGCAGAGGGGGAGCGGTATGGAGGTGATCGGGGGCATTTTAGCTTTATCTGTAGTATTTTGATTTAAACTGTTTTAAAATTATTTAATTTTATTATTTTAATTATCATTAAATTATTTTAAATTATTATTAATTGCTTAAATAATAATAACTAATTAAAATTATTATTATTAATTATTTAAAATTATTTTAATTCTATTTTGCAGTGACAGTTGACATCCAACATTATTATTATTTTTAAAGATTTAATTTATTTTATTTTTAAAGAGGGGAAGGGAGGGCGAAAGAGAGGGAGAGAAACATCAATGTGTGGTTCCCTCTCACACACCCCCTACTGGGGGCCGTGGCCTGCAACCCAGCCATGTGCTCTGACTGGGAATCGAACCAGTGACCCTTTGGTTTTCAGGCTGGTGCTCAATCTGCTGAGCCACACCAGCCAGGGCAACCTTCAACATTATGTTGTATTGGTTTCAGGTGTGCAGTACGGTAGTTAGACAGTCACATACGTTACAAAGGGCTCCTCCTTGACGCTTCAGGTACCCACGTGGCGCCCTACTTAGGAAAATACTTGGATCACGTGTGGCCAAGGGCTCTCAAGACTTTTCACGTATGCATGTGACTATTGACTTCTGATCATAAGCAATCATAAAATTTGTAAAACATCCTTTCATCCTTGGAAATGAAACATAACTGTGTTGCCCCCCAAATTAATTATTTTCCAAGTTAAATTTTTAAATGTAAATATCACAGAAAGAACCTGAAAAGTTAAATTCTATTTCCACAAGTTAAAGTTATGTACCTCAACTCTGGGAGCCACAGCAGTTTTGAGGACACCCAATTCATCTTTAATTGCAAAGAATTGGAAACATGGGGACGGATTTAAATGGATCGGGGGTCTTTCAAACTCCTAATGGAAATGAAAGTGGCTTAATTTATACACACAGGAGGTCCATTTCTAAGGTGCTGTCAACAACTCAGAGATGGCATTGCTTTTCTCAGGGACAGGGCCTGAACACCGGAGGACAAATGTGGGTGAGGAAACCGAGCCCTAGAGAGGGCAGCGGGTTCAGTACGAAGTGGCAGGGCCAGGACTCTTGCTCGGGTTTCTACTGCCAGCCCCGAGTGCTCTCTGCCAGGACACGCTGGTCGCCTGTTCTGGTTCACCAACGTGGGTGCCCTCGGTGTCTCCATATCCGGTGTTGTCAGTTATTCACCCAGAGATTATCTGTTTACCCTCATCTTATCTTTATCTATCTATCTATCTATCTATCTATCTATCTATCTATCTATCTATCTATCTATCTATCTATCTATCTATGTATCATCTATCTTCGGAGGTCTGCCCTTCCCATCCCTGACTCCTAGATGATGCTACAAGTTTCCTCTTTGCCTCTCCCTCCAGCCCGGCGCAGTCCACCTGTTCCCCAGGTATCGTCGCTTGTTCGCGTCCCCACGCTGCCGTCCCCACGCTGCCGGCCTAGCGACCTGCGTGGAGCCTGCAGCCACCGCATCCACCTGGCAAGGTCTCCAGGACCGCGCCCCGCTGGGTGGGGTTGAACTGCCCTGGGGTGGGAGTGGCGCCGCCCCGCACTCACCTTGCCCGAGGCGGGCACGGCCGCTGAAAGCACCAGCAAAAGCACCAGCAGAAGCGGCAGCAGGAGCGCGGGCAGCCTCCGCGCCGTCCGGGGGCACATGATGGGCGCCCGCCGAGAGTACCTGCAGGCTCCCCGGCCACCGCGTTCCTCGCGTGGCTCGGGCTGCGGAGTCCGGCTGTGAAGCCCGGCTTGCCAACCGGTCGGGGGCGGATTTTGTAGGGCTCAGCCGCGCTGTCCGTCCCTCCCCACCGAGGCTTTTTGACTGTGGCTCCAAGGGAGGGAAGAAGTGGCTCAGGTCCCGCCCTCGTCCCACCTCCCCTTCAACTCACCAGGCAATGTCCTTCCGACCTGGGCGTCGTGCCCAGGAGGCAAGAAAGGGCTGCGCGCCCGTGGGGCAGGTGGGCGAGGATCCAGGGTTAGGGGTTAAGGAAGTGATGCTCCCAAGGTCTTGGAGGCGAGGCGGAGCAAGGGGGCTGCGGGTTGGAGGTGGAGAATTTTGGGGGTGCGCAATGGGGAGGCGGCAGAGCGAAGTGGAGGGAGTGGCCAGCGGCCGTGCCCAGATTAAGTGGGAGGCGCGCCGGGCGTGGGCACTCCGAGGGCCCGCTGGCTCCGGCTCCCGGCGGTGCCATCTCGCTGCTTTCCCGTTCTACAAGCCGCCTCCAACTTGCAGCCGCTGAACTTGCCCGGGAGGGCGTGGTGAAGAGAGAGGCGGCTGAGTCGCTCCTGGATTTGGGCGCAGCAGAGCCTGGAGGTGTGCGCCCTGCGGGCTGGCGATGAGGCGGCCCCTGGCGCTGCGGGCGGCCCCCGGAGGTAAGGCGCCCGTGACCCAGGCTGGGCAACCTCTGCCCTCGAGCCTGGGGCATCTGCCGGTGGGGGGGGGGGCAGTGGAGAAGGCCTGGCATCTCAGGTGGGGCGCGCGCGCACGGGGTGGCGGGTGGGGCTGGGGAGCTGGGGCTCAGGGTCACCAGAGGAGAACGTGTCTGGCTCCCGAGCTTGTCTGCCTGGGCTTGAACTGGGCGCTGTGTTTTGATTAATTTGGAGGCTTAAGTTACCACCAGCCTGGCAGTCTGGGCACTGCGACATGCCAAGAGCAAAAGGCAGCTGAGGGGAAAGAGAATGCCCATCCTATTCTCTGCTGCGTTGAACTGGCTTTTCAGGCTGGATCTTATCTGCGGAAATGCAGGGGAAACCGAGAGCCAACTTTGTCCTGGGTGTCTCCCTCCCGAGAGTGCCCTTCGTCGCGGTGGCCTGGATACAAACGTGCAGTTATCTGGCTTGTTAGGGCGCTCTCTTCAAAGGAGGGCTGGTGCCCCTTCTTGCACCAGTTGGCCACGTTGGCTCTGAGGATGCATTTAGACCCTTCTCAGAATAATGCTATTAGGTACATACAAGTAAATCAGAGTTACTTTTACTGGTGTACCATTACTAAAGTGGTCAAGCCATGAGGTAGCAACAGACATGCATCGTGAATATTGCACGGAACATCTGGGCCTAACAACAGCTCCATGAGAACAACTTTAGTCTCAAAGTGGTGAGAGATGCAAAACTGAAATGTGACATGAAAATACCAGTGGCTACAAACTCTCAGGCTCTGCCAATACTATCATGGTGTGTTGCCTTCATAACGGAAGGCTATACTGAACTTCCAGGACAGTGAGTGAAGCTAGAGGTGCAGCTTTTGCTTCCGATCAGGTTCACAGACCACCTGAATTCATCTTGAGGCTGAGAACTCCTGCTTGGGAGTGGCGCTGCTGGCATCTGCAGTAGCTGGTCGCCAGACACCAAGTGTGAAATATGTGGTGTGGTTCCTCATTCAGGAAAACCACTTGCTTGCAGCTAGAATGGGGTCTACTCTATTACTGGACTAGACCTGTGTCAGAGGGCAAAAGCCTGACAGTGGGTGAATGAAGATACACCCCAGCTTTTTTTTGGCTGTAGAGTGAATATTATGGTCTTCCCTCTGTTTTTTTAGGCCTGTGATTGCCAACTGCGGTTATGCATTAGAATCTCCTAGGGATCCTCTAAAAATCCTGGTGCCTCATTCATCTGAAACCAATTACACCAGACTGTCCAGCGGTAGGACTCAGGTATCAGTTTGTTTTAAAGCTCCCTGGAGAGACTTCCATGTACAACCAAGTGTGAGGGCCACTGTTTTATGAGCCTATTTCGGTTAAGTTAGATGCACTGAGTCAGGGTCTCTTCCTAGGAGAATAATAAACCGTACTTTTATTATTAAATCTTTATTAAGATTTATTGTATTATTATAAAGTAATCATATAATCAAATATTTTATAGTTATTAAGATTATATATCCATTAAAATATGTTAAACTCTTTAATAGGACTTATGTATGCCCAGGCCACACATGTTACAAGGTGTCATGCAGCAGCGTCTTCCTACTGACAGGGACCTTCTTATGGAACCTTCTCCCGCCATCCTGGTTAGATAGGACAGCAACTGCTGTGTGGATGAAATAACAGTGCCCAAGAGTTCTGAGGGGCTTATGAACATCTTGCATGAAATGACATTACTTCCTCTGGGGAAAAGCCCCTCGAAGTTAGTGTTAAATGCTCCTTCTTTTTGCTGAACTCCAGATTTCTCAGTTTGGACCTTCATTCGTTTTCCCTGAAACCAAGTTGTTTTCATGAAAGACCCATCTTGGTTTTATCACCTTTGGAATGGGAGGAGCAGTCAATGGCAGGTCACTGCTGATGCCACAGCAGAGCAGGAGGGACACTTGTGATGTACATACAGTAAGGAGGAGGCGTGGTTAAGAGCTGGGTCTCTGCAGTAGGCTCTGGATTTTGAGTCCTTTCCATACTTCACAGTGTTGACCTAACCTCTCTGGGCTGGGAGCGTCTCTTTTGCACAGAGGGCATAATCATGGTACCCATCTCAAGGAGATGTAGGGAAAGAATGTGGTGATCCGGTACAAGCCTTTTGTCCAGGGTCTTCACAAAACAATCAATAGGAGAATTTGGTCCTCCAGTTGCATAAAGGAAAACCAGGTGGAGGAGAAATGGTGGCACAAGACGGAGATGCTCGTCTCAGCTCTACAGGAAAGGATCAAGCACACCTCCCTTGCTCCCTTGAAGTCAATGAACTATTAAGGCATCTAGAACTTGCTTCTTGGCATTTCTGGGAGCAGCAGCTTGGCATCCTGGAGAGCTGGTTAGAAATGCAGACTCTTAGGCCCCACCCAAGACCCACTGAATGAGAGGCTACATTCACCAAGGTCTCCAGGTGACTGACCAGCACATTCAGCTTGGAGAAGTGGCGTGTCTAACAGCCAGCCTCACCCACCCACTCCTCACCTTCCCACTTCACACCTACACACCCTCCTTTAGTGCAATGTTTGGCATGCACACGAGGTGGTGCTAGTCAGGGTTATTGGTTTTTAAAAATCATCTTGGGGTCAAGAGGTTTGATTTTTCGCAGTTGGTTCTTGAAATTTGATAAAGCGAGGGAAGTGAGGTCAGTTCATGTTGTACACACAAAGGACACAGAGCTCTCTACTTTTCACTCTGGTTCCAAGTGAGGGTTTTGAAAAAGAAATGAAGTGGTCATTGCCTTGGAAAAGCCCTATATTATTATTTTTGCCCCTCCCCTCCCCATTTTTATCACCACAATATGTCTGTTTTCTGCACGGTGCTGAAATATGTGGAGTTGATTTCCCTGCGTGTGAATGTAAGCCCCGGTAAGGCAGGGGCGTGGCTGGTGCTCTGTTATTGAATGAGTGAATGAAGTTCTTTACATTTGCTGAGTGAATGAAGTTGGGTGATTGGACAAATTCACTGAGGATTCACATGCAGGTCTGTTTTCTTACAAAGTTCATGATCTTTCTAGAGGCTTTGTAGTACAGGGGTATACTTCTGCTTTTGGTGAGCTGTACTTTGCCGGGCTTCCTGTAGCTTCTTTAGTCTCTTTAAGAGGTTAAATTTAATCTTAATTAATTTTTAAATTGATCTTGTTTTCCTTCATCTCCCCTTGTAGTCATTCCTCTTCTTTCAAGAGCCTTTTCCTTTCAACACCTCTGGAACAGTTGACTCCCCAGTCCTTTTAGAACCTCAGTCACCATCACGCATGTCGGTTCTTGCCGTAGCATCTCCGGATTCTTTCACTGTATCTCTAAGCTCACGGCCCTGCCTCCTGCCTGCCCTGATCATCTGTGGATTAGAGCAACTTCCGCTGCAAGTTCTGTACCGGGAAATCCATCTTCTACATTATTGTCCGAGTGCCACTTAAAATTGCACATGGTATCAGAAAGGTTAGGTTGCTTTGGGGGCAATTACAAACAGTCCTCAAATTTCAGGGTCTTACAGTAACAGGACTTTTTTCCCCTCCATTGTCACGACATACTCATCATAGGATGTAGGGAAGTGGGAAAGTGGGGGGCTCTGCTTATATTAGCCTCTCAGGAACCTCCTGGAAATTCCTGCTGCATGTGTTCTTCTCTGATCCCCACGGCGGGGGAGGAGAACGTGACAAATCAAACACCTCTCTAAAAGCTTCCAAGCAGGTGCGATGCTTACGACTGCCAATCACATTTCATTGGCCAAAGCAGTCACGTGACCATGCTTCCTTTTTGTGAGTGGTGGGGAAATGAAATCTACCACACGCCTGGAAAGAGAGCTGGGAGTATTTGGTGACCGTTAGTAATGCCCATTGCATGCTTGCTTATTTTAAAGCTTGCGGAAGCTTTTCTTTGCCTTTACAGTACTGTTTACACTTCATGGAATAGGGTGGTCCAAAATCAACTTTTAAAAGATTTCCTGTGTCGTCCCGTGTTTCTCAGGCTCACTCACATCTTTGGACTTGCTGTTCCCTCCACCCCAGGAACCTCCCCCGCAGTCTGTCTGGTGTAGTTACTTGTGTTTTCAGATCGAGGTCCAAGATCAGCCCTGGCTGGTGTGGCTCAGTGCACTGAGCACTTGGCCTGAAAACCCAAAGGTTGCTGGTTCATTTCCCAGTCAGGGCACATGCTTGGGTTGAGGACCAGGTCCCCAGTTGGGGGTGTGGCAAGAGGGACCCTACTGATGCTTTCTCCTTCTCTTTTTCCCCACCCTTCCCTCCCTGTACAAATAACTAAGTAAAATCTTTTAAAACATTGTTTTTTAAAATTTGGGACCTCTTTTTGTCTCTATGATGAATTGGAAAGGAAGGAAATAAACATTTATTAAGCTGCTCCCACAGGGCAAGCACTGCACTAGGCAGTCGCATTGCATGAGAGTTAGACGCATGCAGTTCTCTCAGGCATTCATTTTCCGTGCTGAGAAATGAAGAGCCCAGAGGATTTATGAGCTTGCTCAAGGTTACACTGCTAAGGGATCAAGATCTTATCACAAGTCTTCCTAACTCCAGAGCCCTGCTTTCTTCCCTCACCGTGAGAGCACTGGCACCCAGGGAGGAAGGCAGCCAGTCTCTATAGAGGAGAGGAGAAGTCATCAGAGGCAGATAATTGCTAACCTCACATTGTGGTGGGGAATGGGCCTTGTCTGGTGGGGTCCCAGGGTATCACTACCTGGGTTCACTCAAAGGCAGTTCCCAGAGGTAGGAAAGGTCCAGAGACTTCTGATAGAGTCACTCTAGCCCTGCTCAGAGAGGAAAATCACAGACCAAGAGAAACCTGGGGCTTTCATGTTTTTAGCAAGAGACACGAGGCATTCTGAGTCAAGAATGCCGTTCTTCAGTTAGAGGTAAAGGGCTCATCCGGTTTTGAAAATTAGTCGTGTATTTTTGGAGCATTTATCACTTCTATGTCATTCCCATGTGGTAACATTATTATGATGTCACATTTTTCTGTTGATATT